CCTCTACCCCATCTTGGTATTTACGCTGTCCTATATGTAGGCCTAGAGAAAATGGGGGTCTAACTAAAAACCTATATTTAATTTCCTATCTTCTACTTTATCTTTGTCTTCTGCCGTATCTTTCGTCACTGCCCCTAAGTGCAACCAGGTCCGCCTGTATAGATATGTGGTTTCAAGGAAGAAAACATCGAAACCAAATTCTTTTAAATTACCCTTTCAGGGGAGGTTATAGGAAAAATATCCAGTGAAACGTCTACATTTACTGATTGTCGCAACAAATAAAGAAATGCACATTAACCAGGACCGCAAATATGACTATTAAATTACAATTTGGAAGTCATAATGGCAAATGAAAATGTAATTCGTATATTGGTCACGGTTTGGGAGGAGTTAATACTTCATTTTTAATAAACACACGAAATACAGAAAGGGTCTGTGATTTATAATATAGATATATAATGTATCATATAATGTAATACACAGCCTGTTAAAAAATTATCCCCATGTGGGATGCAATTTTTTGTTTGAAGCACAACCCTGGCTTCTATCGGGGACCCTGAATTTAGCCGGGGCATAGATATGGCCTACCGGCTGAAAGGGGGTTTTGGAACCTGTCCACGGCTGATCCTCATCCGCATGTTGACACTTTGTGTTACCGGATGTTTATCGCCTGTGTGATGTCCTGGTGGGGTACAACTACCTACCTATCTAATTACCGAGTCAAAAGAAACACCGATGTTAAAACTCCTTCCCCATGTGGGACGAATTTTTCGTTATTTTGAAGCCTTACTCTGGTTGTTGCCAGGGGCCCTAATATAACCTAGTTGTTGAACGGGGTTTCTGGGCCCTCTAAACAGGCCATTCTCATCCGAATGGTGGCATTTTGCGTCATCGGGTGTTTATCACTCTGTGTGATGTCCTGGGGGTACAATTTACTTTACACAGTACACGATTTAAACCATCTGTTGTCTTGTTACGTGTCCCAATTTTTCGTTATAATAAAGCCCCACCCCGGCTGTAGTCGGGGACACTAATATAATCTAAAGGTTGAACGGGGTTTCGGGGATCTCCCAACGTGTGATCCTAATCCGCATGGTGGTACTTTGTGTCATCGGGTGTTTATTGCTCTATGTGATGTCCTGGTGGAGTTGAATCTCTTCCATTCATTCAAAACACGAGTTTAGCTAATTATCTTTTCAAATTGTAGCTAATTATCTTTACAAATAGTAGCTAATAATCTTTACAAATAGCAATCTACAATTTTGTAAGAAATAAAAGCTTATAGTGAAAAAAGTGTTTTAATGTGTGTGTGTGTGTGTTTTTTTTTTTTTTTTTTTTTTTAATTATCTACTTTTTAGTCCTGGTTGTAGGTTATCAATCGGAGCATCAATTAAAAATAAATAAATAAATAAATAAAAACATATGTGACAACCACACTGACTTATCACTCTAGTACATCTAACCAATATGTTAAAAGTATATAAATATATAATAATATTAATAATAATATTAAATATATAAAACCAAGATGTTTTGAAAGAGGCGGGAGCCCGAAGACAACTTATCACATACATCAGAAGGAGACAGCAGTCATCATTTTTAGGTCATGTTATGATAAAAAGAAAAATGGAATATGTTGTGACCACGGCCATCTTTAGCTATAAATCTAGAGTTGGCGGTGGTTGTGACCACTGGAAAGATCTGTGGAAGGAGGGATAGAGAAAGACAACGAGAGAAGATTCTTGACAGTCTTATTCCATGGCATCGAGGTGTGTCAGCAAACAAATACATGCTGCAGGAGATCGCAGATTGTGGAGAGGCATGATCGTCCACGCCGGTCGGCAAGGCGGAAATGGAAGTTGATAATGATGAGTATAAAATCGGATGCAAAATCTCGGCCAGAATAATATACAAACTAAACCTAAATTAAAAAAGGCTTCTTTAAAAAAAAAAAAAAACTGCCTCAGCTGCCTGTTTATAAAACTTTTTAAAATAAAAAAGGAGGGGTGCGGAAAAAGGCGGGGGGGGGGGGGGGGTGGATGTGTCTTTGAGTCCGACTATGTGGCGTCGCATGGCATGTACTGTCACTCCGGACTGTGCGGGTTAGGTTTTTTTTTTTTTTTTTTAAACCCGAAAAGTGAAAACAATCCACACAGCCTTACCGAAATTTTGAACCTGGGTCTTCCGCATTAAAGTCCAGCGCCCTTAACCGTTCAGCCAGCCGCTGTACGTTTTATAACTCGCACATCAACATTTGTGAGACCCATACGGCTCTAAAATTCATACGGACAAGAAAATATAATCACATCAATGTCAAGTGCCCATGTGGATATTGGGGTGTAATCTTGAGCTGAAATTCACGGTGTAGTGGGTAATAAACAGGCAAATAAATTGGCTGTATCTGCATCACTGGGTAGTGAAATACATGCCAAGGTAGACGTGGTCAAGGCCCTTTAGGAACAAGCAGAGGAATCAGTAGTATTATTAGCCTGGCGAGAATGAGCCACCTGGATGTAACCAGAGGGTCTGGCCGGCTCACCACACCCATAGAGGCAAGGTGTACATATAAATGATTGTGACCGGTACCATCAGTATTGGAACTCTGTGCTGGCTGCTGAAGAAGAGGACGGAGCACGCATGGGAATGCCCGGAGTGCTGTGATGTCAATTCTTGACTCAACTCAACTCTTGAGCTGTAAGATATGTATAAGATGCATATATATCTGATATATGTGTGTATATATACAATGATGAGAGCGACGTTCTGCAAAGGACCTGCTTCATGATGATGAGTTTGCCATTGCCTCAACGGTCTTTCGGTACCACTGTCGAAATCAGCACAAGAAGAATCGTCCGCAGCAGGGATCGAACCCGATACCACGGCATTACGAAGCGCGTTCGCAACGCCTAAGCCACAGACGCCGACGGTTTATAGAAACATGGCTAATATCATATGCTTGATGTGATACTAGCGTGAAATTTTTTTTAAAAACTTGTACTTACATTTAAAAAAAAAAAATATTTAGGGATATCTTATGTCCCCTCCTATCACTCTAATTCCGTCTGCGAGCGTTAATCAACACATTTCAAATTTTTTTATTTTTGCTTTTTTTTAAAGCCCATCTCGGGGACTCAGAGATTTGGCGGGGGAGTTACCCGGAAAGTCCAGTAGTTTAGGTATATTAGGGTGTTAAACGAACACTCACTAACCCCCCTCCCCCACCCCCCATAATATTGGAGGTTCCTGTGATCTCTAATGAAATCTCGGAATCCACGAGATAGAATGAAATGAAATAAAAGAACCAGTTAAAAAAATTACTGTTTCTACTTCTTCAAGAGCTCTCCCTCTCTCTCTCTTTAATCTCATTGATTAATAAGTTTCCGTCCTTTTCAGGATGAAATTTTTCGTTATTTGAAGCCCTACTCTGGCTTTGCCAGGGGCCGCAATATAGCCTGGCCATAAATATGGCCTAAAGGCTGAACGCGGTTTCTGTGACCTCTCCACGGTAATCCTCACCCGCATGGTGGCACATTGTGTCATCGGGTGTTTATCGCTTGTGTGATGTCCTGGTGGGGTAGAAAGTCAGTCAGTCAGTCTCTCTTTCACTCTGTGTGTGAGAGAGTCGGTATTTGTTAAGTCTGGGTCTATGTGTTGTATTTGTGCGTATTTGTATCTTTGAGTGTGTGCTGTGTCGGTGTGTGTGTGTGTGTGTGAGTGTGTGAGCTCATATATGTTGTCAGTTTGTGACTGTTTTGTTTTTCTGCCCCGTGTGTGTCTTGCATTGTGTACATTTGTGCGTTTGTATTTGGAGGTAGGTATTTGCTGTCTATTCTTATGTATTTTGAATTTACATTCATATTCTGAATTTTGATAAATGAACATTATATTATACTTGCAATATAAAATACAACTGCCGTGTGAAGGGTGAATGTTTTAAAGCCGAATGTAAGACGTGCCTGTATGCCCGATTGGGGGTCATGAATGGATGAATCCATAATTAACATCATTAGACTCGGGACCTTCCCACACCTGCTCCCTCCCCTTCTTCAGCAACCAACAAAGAGTTGACATGCTAGTAGTACCAGCTGCAACCTGATTAAAAGTCTGTCACTGTTTAACTCTCAATTTTGAATATCCATTAGAACGGGGGTTACCCCCGTTGAATTAGTCTTTCCGTGTATACATTCCCTATCTGTTGTTTTGCACTGCCCATTCGATGCTATAGAATAGAGCATTCACCACGTCCGCTTCATCATACAGAAGCTCATCACCGCCCAAAAAAATCTGCAGCAGCTAATCTATCAGGCTGCTTGTTATCTTGCACACCTGAATATCCTGGGCAGAAAATCCATGATATGCTCCGGATCTGAGTCTTATCGAGTGGTGCAAGCCACTTGCGCGCAGGATACCAGTTTGAATATTCCAAAGCATGCGTTGTGAGTCTAACAGTTACATGTTTGCTGTGCTGATCCCAAGCGCTCATAAAGCTGCCGTTACTGCCCCCACCTCCATTCTCATACTGGATGTAGTGACGTTGTACGCAAAAGACCATTTTAAAATAAAGTTTGTTCATTCATTTGCTCTCTCTCTCTCACTCACTCTCTGCCAGGGCTGCTAATGGGATGTTTTTTTGAAAAACCCAGCTAAGCTGAACAAAAACCCAAGCAATACATAAGCAAAATACAAACAAAACAAAACATATTGTTTAAAACTACAAATTTATAGATACGAAACGAAACATTTACCCACTTTTATATAAAGATATATTTGATACCCCCCCCCCCCCCACAGATTTCAAAATTTGAACCCAAGCCGTCAAATTAAAGTCCAGATCTAGGGGTAAAAACCCATCATTGGCAGCCCTTCTTTCTGCATGTGCCTAAATTGCGAAACCTGCCTATAACGTAGCTTCTTTACAAAAAAAAAAAAAAACACAGAGTGACCGTCCCCTTGTTTGTCTGTTTTCACATGTGGAAGAAAAGACGGTGACATCTCTTGAAATGTCGACACTAGAATATGAAGGTTGTAACCACTTTCGTATGAGGTTAGTACTATCAACTTTAAGTGGGAGAAGTGTCAAGATATCCCAGATTCGACCGGAGGAGGATGATCCTGGTCTGAAAGGTCAGTTGCTAATAATATCATTATAATGTAATAATTTATTAATTAACTTAACTTTAATTTTTCGCTCTTCAGTTTTCAGTGTTTACTGTACAGTACTGTATGCTCAATTACTACTAGTAACTAGTACTAGTGTAACTACTGTAACTGTGTAGCCAGCTAGGCAATTTTCATAGAGCTGTAATATGTATGGAAAGGCAAACTAGCAAAGCGATGATTGATTACAGAAATTGACCATCCATCATCCCACTTCATATGATGTAATTATTGTAATTAAGCGTCTATTTACATGACTGTATTATTAGTATTAGTAAAATATTATTATTACTATTATAATTATTCCGTTTTTTGTACAGTGAGGCATCATTTTGTAGCCATAGAAATAGGTACTATAGTCGAATTTTTAAAATGCTCCCAACACCAATAAAACCAGCACAGTTAGATAGCTGTAAACTGTAAACAATCTCTTTCCAATGGTACCTCATTTAGCCTTGTAGTTGTATGTCATTTCTGAGCTGAGATATGTAGGTTTTTGTGGAGATGAGATGTAAAAAAACAGCTGCTAAAACTTGTGTCTGAGAAACAAGAAGTTTTCTCTGCACAACCAAACTACGCAACTTTCGTTTTGGCTTTGTTTTCATTGGACAAGATGGCAGACAATTTTTCTCAGATACAGCCACATAATAATAGCGATTGCATGAAAAATGTCACTGTAAATTGAAACAGCCACAGATAAGAAAGATATTTTATACACAAATGTAAAATTGGACGGAGAATTTAATTATAACTAGCATTACCATGTCTGGTAGTAATGTTTAAGGCCTTAAAGCCAACCGTGAATACTAAGCGCTATTTTCAATCAAACTGATGCAACAGAAAAACAGAGGACGTCTGGCTGTCGTAGACATGCGCTGTTAATCGGGTTCGTTCCCGCCGTTTTCAGCTATTCATAGCTGGTGAAAATCACACCAGTCGCAAAATTTCATGAGAGATTAGGACCCATCCCGAAACCCCAGCCGACATTTCCCAAACAAGTTTCAAACGGTTTCCATGGTAACGGAAATTGCCAAAAAGACAGCAAATCGTCGAAACTGTTGTCGCTAATAGAAACAACCACAACTTATAGTTGGCCCATGACTATGGTTATGATATCCCACATGTACACAGTTGCTATGTTAACCCTTTTGTCGAATAAAGGGGTAATGACTCCTTTGGAGTTTTCGAAAAAATCCTATTAAAAAATTGCAGTCTAAAAGATGAGTCCATGGAAGGGCTGCTGAATGAGAATGAAAGACATGTCTGCATGCCCCATTTGTAACCCTTTGAAAAAAAAATAAAGTTTGTTTATTCATTCCTTTAAAAACAATTTTACATAGGTCACTAATCAATTAAAAAAAAATTAAGGCTCTCCTCAGAATAACGGTCCCAAATGATCTACGCAGAAAGTTAACCCAAACAGAGCCTCACTCATGTCTAAAATTCTCATTTCTTTTGCGGTGAATCAACCATGTCAAAAGTAGGATTAATTGCGCACAACATTTTCGCGAAACGCAACAGATTTTTTAACGGCGATTAAACGGCGCCAAAACTAGGACTAAGTACAGAAAAATAAAATTTAGCGACACGCGAAATACTCCTAATAGCACTATCCTACGGCAGGGCCTGAGTTATATGTAAGTTGCGGAACGCTTTTCGCCGACTATAGTGCCACCTCCGAGAGTATCCCCACGGCGCTACGCGCGGCATGGAAGGGGTTAAACTAGATGGCTAGGACTCACGAGCAGCAGCTACCGCAGCTCCTGCAGCTTCCTCCAATGTATTTGCTCGTGAGTCCTAGCCATCTAGTTTACTGCCTTCCAGGCCACAGCGGCGCGGGGGATACTCTCGGAGGTGGCACTATAGTCGCCGGAAAAAAAGTCTACAATTTACAGGAGCTACTTCTTCTGTCGCAAGTACCAGCGTGGTCACATTCGTCACGGTCAAGGTGTGGTCGGGATAGTGGAGCGCCATCGTGGCGGCTGCTGGTTTGAAGTTGTCCCGAGGTGACATGCGCCTACATTAAACCGCACATTACTATTCATGTCTCGCCCGGAACGAGAATCGCTGACAAGCCGTGCTGAGTTGCAATGGCGGACAGCGAGAAAGAACAGATATTCGCGCACTATCTGCAACTTCTGTGCTACAATTTTCACATATTAAGGATTTAATTTTTGGTAAGCAGTAGACTTTGCCATTTTCCTTACACTTTTTGTTCGTTAATTTTTCTGAGCTACACCTTTTAAATGTTTGTAGGGCAGGGCGTAATGAGGCTCTGTTTGGGTTCACTTTCTGCGTAGATCATTTGAGATCGTTGTTCGGAGGAGAGCCAAAATTAAATTATTTACATTTATATTTTTAAACATATGTTGTATAAATTTAAAGAAAGAAGAAAGATAATTTTTCTTTAAAAGAGTAAGAAAAAGATTTTAAAAAGTAAGAAAAAGATTTTAAAAAATAGTAAGAAGAACATGAGCACAGTAAAGGGTTCTCCTTGCAACTACGGCCACATATTGGGGGAGTACACCGGAGTTCAGTCCCCTGGCTGCATTGCAATTACGGAATGGAGAAGGAACGAATCACACAACAAAGTAGCACATTTTCGGCCATTTTTCGCAACTCCTGTCAACATTATCAGATATACCGGCCGTCATTATGGGTAAGTACTCGACGTTACATGTGTTACCCTAACCCTATGATGACAGCAGTGCACTGCACGCTGTCTATCGCTTACTCTGTCTATCGCCAACACACACTAATTACGTGATTTGTTTCGTTCCCTCTTTTCCACTCCGTGATTGCAATGCGGCCAGAGGACTGAACTCCGGCGTACTCCCCCAATATGTGGCCGTAGTTGCAAGGAGAGCCCAGTAAAGCATTAAATAGAATACACCCCAGTGACGTAAAAAAAAACAAAATGTATTGGGCGATTCATGCCTGTGACCTCTGCCAACAACAAAATTTGACATCAGCTTGGCTTTGGTAGAGCTATTTTAGTCAAAAGGAATGGAGCTGAGACATGGAGAGTGACCACTGTAATGACTGTTGTTCCTCCATCTCGAGTGATAAAGACCACTTTAATCCAAAGTATGATAGCTGGATGAAAGTGACTTGCGCAAGGACTTAGATTTAAGTGAGGAAGAGTTGCGCAATTGATCGACCTCATTCTCTCGCTTGTGTCCATCTTGATCCAATGGCAGGACAGTGTTGTGCAGTTTGTCAACCTTACTCTCTCGCTTGTGTCCATCTTGATCCACTGGGAGGACAATGTCGAGACCATTGGAAATGGACCTAGTTTCAATGGATGACCAAGGTGTCTTAAGTGTCCTCCTGCCTTGCTCAGAGCTTTCCACAGAGCCTGCTGGTAATTGCTTTTTGTCTGTTAAACCAAAAAAGAGGTTTCATTCGCACAATTCGCCAGGTTAAATCTTTGCAAGCAGGGTAGGCATATCCCAATCACCGGGGGTTTAGAACTGGGTCGGCTATCCTTTCCTGCTTTAGCTAGCCCTCAAAGCTGTTGCGGGGGTGGGGGAGATGGCCGTTGTCGCATGCTGACAGCTGCTGGAAGCCACAGGAGAGAGCTGAGTGCAAGACCTAGCCAAATGGTGGTGAACTGCCCTAAGACGGACGTGACGATCACCTTGCTGGAGGTACTACTAGTATCTGACACCTCAGACACCCAACTATAATGACTAGAATAAGCTACAAACATTCACTAATTTATGCCTGCATGTCCTCTCAGCATTCACCCTGTAAACTCCAGCAGAAAGTTTTGGTTCATCCACTACTGGACTTTGGTTTTGTTTTAAAACTAGAGATTTATATAAATATCAATATGCTGAATTTTTATTTTATTTCCTAATTTAATGTCTTTCCCATCTTGGACAGATTTTGAAGTGAGCTTTATTAGATTGCTTGACAAGGTGACCAATGGAACAAAAACAGTTATCTCAGAGACAGGTAGGTGTTTAAAAAAAAAAAACACCTTTACTACCGTGTTTGCCTTTTTTTTTTTTAAAGCTTGATATAGGGCAGGACTTTTCAACTGGTTCCAGTGGACCAAGAAGTGAGGAAAGGGCGCTAGCATTGGACAGGACACATGATGAGAAAACTTGAGAACAGTATAACAAATGTCTTTGCACTGGAACCCACAGGGGGTAATAGAAGACCAAAAACAAACTGCGAAGGGAGCTAGAGAGTGAGGTTACAAGGATGGGAGGACACAGAGAGAGCCACATGTGATAGCAAAGGATAGAATGACTCGGCATGAGTTGGCCAGTGGAGGCCTGGTAAGCGGTCACCAGATCATTGCCAGTTGCATTATATTAACGATCTTTGTATGATCGGGCTCGGCTCTCTGGCCCTTAATGGCCCCCGTTTTCAAAATGTTGGCTGCTGAGTAAACTTAATTGGGTTCATTCCCAATATCTCTCCCCCCCCCCCCCAGGATGACATCACAGGACAGTCCAATATGTTCTTGGGTGATAAGAGTGGGTTTCCTGGCTTTCTGATGCTTTTAACGACCCCAAAACATCTAGAACAGGGCCTAACCCCAACCCCTCCACGTCCCACAAGAGAGTGCAGCCTAGGTCCCAGGACTGCAAGCAGCCTATCTACCACTCCCTAAAATATTCAACTGTCTGTTTGGGAGAAAATATTGGGATAGAACCCTTAACTGAAAAGCCCTAATATAGTGCATCAGTTTTTGTCATCCTAGAAATAGGCCTGACGCCTTCCTTCGAAGTCGGAGTAAGCTGCCCATGAGGCAGGGAACAACAAAACGGTTGTACACGCAAAACTCAGGTCCAGGTAAAAGCCAAAAGTCGAAGCGGACGATTAACCGGGATCTTCCGCCGGAATTCACAGCCGGTGAACGAAGAAGAAGTGCATCAGATTATTTTAACCTGAGGTCCTTATCCACATAGAACTGCAGGTTACACCTAGCTGGGGTAAACATACCATTTTCGGGCAGGGGTTGAATGGGTTGTCTGGCATCGACCTTGTTGGTCTGCCACCCACATTGAGATTCTTTGATCTCAGGATGGTCTGGTAAACTTTCAGGTAGCAGTTTGGACAAACTGATCGGTCAGTTGAACCTGAGGATTTAGGGTTGCATGGCTAGAGTGGTCACCAGATCAGTGAAGAATGTGATGGTTATTTTCACCTGGACAGACAAACTTTAATCTTACCAAGGCTTGAAACTTGGGTCTTCTGAATGAGAGCCACAAATTCTGACCACTAAGCAAGTGGTTCCTCAGGTGTTGTGTACACGCTGAAGACTTTATATTTGTCCAAATGTCTATCGGTGAATCTGGTGCCGTTTACACCACCGGTTTCTGCATGCTTCTCCTTGCTTTATACTAATTTCCAACAGTTGATTCATTGTATCTGACTTCTTTGTTTAAAAGTGTGTAGAACGCAGGATGTTTGATATATTTGCCCTCTCCATACTTCTTCCTCCACCAGCCACTGCAGACACAGCCTGTCTGTCGGCTCTTTCGTTTTCTTTCACCCCGATATATCCCGACATTTACAGCCAGGATAAGTTTCTTGAGAGAAACTTCTCATTTGTACCAGTGTCTATGATGGCTGCCATAACATTCAGGAAAGCAAAGCCGAGAAAGTATTTGTTGGAATCAGAGGTACTCAGATGTACTCTGCTGTCTACTTTTGCCAGCCCAGTGCCATTATTATAAAGGTGCAGACTCTTTGGTATCGTTAGTGACTTTTTATCTTAGAGAGGAATGGTTGGTTGAATACTGGGCTAATATGCTGGATGAAACAGTGCAGCTGTGCTGTCTTAATGATGATTTATCTGTGCCCTGGGTATCATTTAGTGACCTTTTATTTTGGAGATAAATGGCCGAATGACTGAATGCTGTTCTAATAGGCTTGATAAATCAGTGCAGATTTACTCTTTTCATGATGCTACATCTGTGCCTCTGGGTATTATGTCAGTGACCTGAAGATCTTGGAGCAGAAAGGTTGGCTAAATGCTTAAATCCATTGTTTTCAGGCAATGCTTGATGATAACATACAGACCTGGTCTGTGCTCTCTTCATGGATGCAGCATCGCTTGCTTTTACTGCCTGCCTCAAGACCAATCGGATATTACCTGGAAATGCTGATGTGTTTAGCTCCTTTTACCAAAGAACCACTGAAGGCTGTACTCAGAGGTGTGACCTGTGACAAAGATGATCCATCTGTGAGTGATTTATGTTGTCAAGACCATATTGGCGTTGTTATAAATGCTATGTAAATAGTTGCGTTTACCAAGCCTCTGAAGGCTGTACTCAGAGGTGTGACCTGTGACAAAGACATGATACTCATCTGCATGCATGCATACACACATGTTGTGCAAACATTATTTATATTGGTGTTGTGTTGTTATATGGCTATGTGAATAGTTGCATTACTGCAGCCTCTGTTGGCATACGTATGTACGTACGTACGTACATACATACATACATACATACATACATACATGTATACATACATACATGCATGCATGCATACATACATACATACATGCATATATTCATACAAAAAAAAACATGGTAGGTGCAGAAATGACAGTTTCTATTGGAGAGAGTTTAAGTTAGTTTCAAATCCTTTACAGACGTTGCAGAACCCACCCCAGCATTTTTTGGCTGTTTTACATCCAGTGGTTGCCATTACTTCTGAAAGGTCAGCTCTCGGCACCACTGTCGAAACCAACACAAGACAATTTGTCCGCAGCTGGGATTGAACCCGGCATTATGAAGCATGTTTGCAGCACCTAAGCCACAGAGGCCTTTATTGGGAAGAGTAGCAGTTCTTTATGGTGTTTCAAAGTATCGGACACTGAAAAAGGACATTTATCGTAAGGGTGACTTTGACTACACTGTCTGCACAGGGATGTGAGGATAGTTCACTAAGTCCGGCAGTGCAGAATTGTTAAACATTTTTTTTTTGGGATGTAGCAGGGTACAGTAAGGATGATTGCCTATCCCTGTCCAGCTTGGTGTGGGGATGGAATTGCCCGATATGAACATTTCCCTATGATGTTTGTTAATCGAGACGGAAAGCTTTGTTAGCAGTCATTTTTTAAATGCATTTCATGCCAGATGAACATTTGCCTAAGATATATGTTAATCAAGATGAAAAGCTTTTGTTAGCAGTCATTTTTTAAATGAATTTAATTAAGATGAAGGACATTAGAGATATAAGGAGTGCAAGATGAAAGCTTCCTTACCAGTCACATTTTTTGGCCAAATGAAAGTCATGCCAGATGAACATTTGCCTAAGATATGGTTAGACAATATGGAATAGCTTTGTTAGCACAAGATTTTTTTATGCATTTCCTACCACGCATTTCCCCTCTATATGTTAATCAAGATGGAAAGCTTTGTTAGCAGTCATTTTTTTATGCATTTCCTACCAGATGAACATTTCCCTAAGATATATGTTAATCAAGATGGAAAGCTTTTGTTAGCAGATATTTTTTTTGGTGTGGTTAAGGAGGGAGGACATCATGTGAAGTGCTATGATGATGTTCCTTACCAATCACATAGGGTCATTTGGCCAGCGTAAAGTAAGTAGTAAAATAAAGGACTCTTTTCCACACCCTTAGGCATATAGGGCTAGACCTATATTTTATAGACCAATCGGCACAAGATGGTTGATGTGGTCAGTATCACGCCGGCCGCCTCTACTTCCCGGGACTGCACCTGGTACCCACTCATGGCTGGGTCGACCTGGGAGCCAAGGTCATTTTTGAAGAAAGTCAGGCTCCGCCACTGAGCAAACCCACTACCTTCCGATCAGCGGCGAGCATCTAGTCGCTCTACCACGGCAACTCATTTGGTGAAAGGGATTACATAAATGGTATTTTTGGCTTATGAGTTACGATTAAGATTTATTATAGAATATCCCCATTTGGTTTCCGGGTCTGGAAAACACAACACACGCCAGCAATAAATGTGGTCAAGCTTTGTCTTCTTCTGCCCTTTGTGTCCCAGTGGAGCATAGGCCCTCAACCAACTCACGCCATGCTCTTGTCATTTTTTAACTTGACTTTCTAGTTGCCTCCTCCGTGTTTTTTTTGGGTTTTTTGTTTGGTCTGCCTTTATGTCTTTGTCATGGTGGGTTCAAGTGCAAAGATATTCTGGTTATATCGATTTCAGGTTTTCTCAGCATATGTCCTATCCAAAGCCAGTGTCTTTTCCTCACATCTTTGCCCACTGGAATTTGTTTAGTTCTCTTCCAAAGGTGAACCTTGGTAATTCTTTCGTATTATTCTGTAATTGTTATTCTTGGGTCAAGTTTATATTTCTCAATAATTTTGTATTTGTTCTGCAGGTGGATTTGTTGAAGCTGTCTGTGTTCCCAGTTTTAAAGAAGTTTCTAGGAACAGATGAAGGCTTAGAGTTGAAAAGTAAGTATTTTTTCATCTGTGGTAACTTAGAAGAGGTGATTTTAGGAGTCTTTATGATAAAGCAGCTGGCCGAGAGGTATACCGTCAAGGCTGTTATGCGATGAGACCTGGGTTCGACCCCCGGTAAGTTGATGGAGTTTTTTTTTTATTCTGTCGGGGGCAAAAAATAAACATCCTAACTGCACAGTAAAGGTCCCTTTTCCACGCCATTAGGCATATAGGGCTAGACCGATATTTTTTATAATTGGCACAAGATGGATGATGTGGTCAGCATCGGGACTGCACTCGATGCCCACTCAATCCTGGGTCGGCCTGGAAGTCAAGGTCATTTTTGAAAAAAGCTCTGCTCCTCCAGGAAGCGAACCCAAGACCTTCCGATCTGCACACGAGCGTCTGCACAGTCTATGGCCCTAAATCCTCAGCTTAAACCCCCCCCCCCCCCCCCCCCCCCCCGGCCTACTGCCCTAACAAGTGGTAAATAGAGTCAGTTGTGACAGTTTATTTTATTTTTTTAAATCATCATCAGGTGCCTTGCCAACTGGCATGGGCGATCATGCCTCTCCATAATCCACGATCTCCTGCAGCATGTATCAGTTCGTGTGCCGACACATCTCCATGCCATGCAACAAGACTGTCAAGAATCTTCTCTCGTTGTCTTCCTCTATTCCTCCTTCCACAAATCTTTCCAGTGGTCACATGTTCTATTTTCCCTCTTCTCATAACATGGCCGAAAAACATGATGATTGTCTCCTTCTGATGTCTGTGATAAGTTTTCTTCGGGCTCCCGCCTCTTTCATAACCTCTTAGTTGCTCTTTTTGGCCTTTTCTTTTAAATAGTAAAATGATTAGGCCATTTGCCTTCTCACGCAGTGAAGAGTTTAGGATTCAGTTTCAGACTTGGTCCTTTGAAGTATGTTAGTTTGTGAGAAATTATTCTTTTAATTAGTCAGTCCCGCTTAGTGTTCAGATCTGAAAGAATATCAGTTTTCCATTTTACTTATTTCTAATATTCCTTATAATCCATACATGATGTTCCCATCTAGATTCTGGAGGGGGGGGGGGGGGTAGCGCTGCCCTTATGTACCTCTTGTAAAACAGTGACTAATTTTTTGTTTGATGAAATTAATTTTGTTGAGTCAACGGGTTTGGATCTCACAGTCTAGCTGTAAACCACAAACAGTGTGCCAGTGACCCTTATAAAGGGCAAGTGCAGAATAATAAGAAAGAGAAGAACTACAATCACTTAAATTTTTGCCAGGTAATCACATGCTCTTGTGTATTTACAGATTATCAAAAGAGGTGCAGCACCCGAGGGTGGCGGTGAAGTCCTGTTTTCCTGTCCATGTCGACAGAAGCTGCGGCCAGTCAAGTTCACCCAGCCTGGAAAGATCAAACGGATTCGCGGAGTGGCGTATCCTTTATAAAATTTATCAGTACATTAACCGTTTTTTCTTATAGTCCATGCGAGTGTATAATGTCCTGTTCACAGACTCCCCAATCTTATAGTAGTACATGGAAAGTAAAGGACCCTTTTTGACATCATTGGGCATACAAGGCTAGACTTATATTTTATAGACCAGTTGACGTGGTTAGTGCCTTGTGGGAGAGCTTGTACAGTACGGAGGAGCAGATGGATCACCACAGTCTGGGGAGATTGATGCAGTGGGGAGTGACGAGAGGTTCTGGCAGATGCTCGAGGCTCAGAGGAAAGGCAAGACGGACGTTTAATCAAAATGCTACTGGCACCATTAGTATCGGAACTCTGCGCTGGCTGCTGAAGATGGGGACGGAGCGTTTATGGGAATGCCCCGAGGGCTGTGATGTCAGTTCTTAAATCAAATGAAATCATAGACCAGATGGTACTTGATAGGTCATGCCAGTTACCTTTACTTCCCAGAACTTTACCCTGTACCTGTTTGAGGTTTAGTCAACATGGCAGCTAGGGTCTTTTTTTTTAAAAGTCCCGCCTTGTCTGGACCTGAACCCACAAGCTTTGGATCTGCAGCAAACGTCTAGCTGCTGCACCACAGCGGCCCTCGTAGCATACATGGACTCATTGAAAAAAGTTTGTTGCATATTCTTTAGAGAACACTGCAGCCCTGCCCCACATTTGTTGACTGTATATTATGGTTTTAAAAGGCAGTTGTTATGTTCGGTAGTTTGCCTTTGCTTTCTGAACATTTGGCTACTGATGTCGCTATTGAAATCAATGAAAACCGGTCGGCTGTCTGATCGCCCACAGCTGGAATCAGAGTTGGTTTCAGAATTATCTCAAAGAATATCAACTCTGGCCTAATGTGCCCATCATAAGAGGTGACTGTGGGTTTCTTAAAACTAGCTACTTTATCGCATATGAACGAACAAGAAGGGTCACAAATTGAACATGCAGGGCGGGCTCTTTCAGGCATTCCTTTCTCACACCACAATTGTAATCCATCTGCAGACATGTTATATGTAAAGACTAGCTACTGAATGCAGCTAGTCACAAACCTTTTTCAATAATAAGTGCTTCACACACAGCTTAGGGCACCTTGAATCTATGAGGTGGTTTTTATATTGTAAGATTAGTGGTCACCAGAACAAGATTTTATGGCAGTGAGAATGTCTGCTTCACCTTAAGGTTGTCAGAGTGGAGGGAGATTCCTTGTAGATCTTTATAAAAATGCATCCACTACTTTACTTTCCGTGTCTTGTTATTTGATCACTGCACTTTGTGTTTTTTCACCAGCTGTAAACTCTGGCAGAAAGTTCTGGGTGTTTGTCCACCTCTGGACTTTGGTCGTGTTCCAGAACCTGAGTGTTGTATGCAAATCCGTTCACACCTCTGGCTTATTAATATGCAAACTCGTGGTTTCTTGCCACTCAGGCAGATGTACTCCTACTTCAAAGGATGCCCCCGGTTAGTCGACTCCTTAGACATGCTTGTTGGGGAGGCAGTGGATTTATTCTTCTTTTCCCCTCGATGGGACCTCGGAACCAACCCTACACAGGGAAATCACTGTACTGAGAGGTATTAAGGGAGAATGTGTCATTTCACCAGCTTTTTAACATGATTTATTTTTAATAAACATATCCTGAGGAAATTATGTTTTACCCTGCCTTCCACAGGACAGTATGTAGTACCGTTACATCAGTCAGTAAGGTGTCATCTCTCTAATGAAGTTTGCTGCAGTGGATCTTCAATAGACTCTGTCTGTTGGTTGTACACTCTCTTAGACTACAGTTCATCCATCTCTTAATGTTTTCCTTCCAATTGTTTCATTGTTTTGCTTTCCACTTTTTCATAAAATGTGGTTTTTGAAAAAAAATTGCTAAGCCTATTAATGTGACCAACAAATTTCAATTGTATCTTTTTTTCTTTCAGCAACCATCTTTTATTCCCAGTCTTTCCAAAACCTTTTGTAATTGACTGGTTTTTATTTCCATGAAACACAACATAGTCTTCTGTATATCTACATTTCCCACAGACTGGGTTCAGTTTTCTAGTTGCTTGTTCATTGTCCAGGTCTCTGTGCCATACAGCAGGGTTGAGTATACATACCATTTGACAGTCCAGTTCTTTGATGTTTTGTTAATCTCTTCAGATGTCAGTAATTACATCCTTAACTCTTTTTCTAGCTGGTCTGTTCGTGTCTCCCCTGCTTTTGTTAACAGGATGGTGGATGCTACAAGAAGTGTTCTCAACGGATTTCTGACGGATATTTACATCCATACAGACCACATGAAGGGAAACCAATCAGGGAAGTGAGTATATTTAATTTTGCAGAGCTGGACAGTGTGTGTGGCAATACTAGCACCATCATCATGTGTCGTGCTGGTCATGGTAGGTGATAAAACCTTCTGTGCTTTCTTAATATCCTACCCAAAATAGAGGAAATCCACAGGTCACGGGACAGTCTAATATTTCAGGGGGTGGTAGGCTGCATGCAGTCATGTGACTTAGGCTGCATGCAGTTGGTCGTAGGTGGGTTGGGTTTAGGGCCTGTTCTAGATGTTTTGGAGTCATTAAATGCATCAGAAAGCTGGGAAACAGTCTTACCACCCTCTAAAATGTTGGACTGTCCTGTGACGTCCTCTGGAGTTGGATATTATGAAACATCCAAACCTTCTTCTTAGCTTTCACCGGCTGTACACTCTGGCAGAAAGACCTGGTTGTTAGTCCACTTTTTGTCCCTTTTCAGGACTTGAGTGATTCATGCACATCTATTTTACAGATCTAGATTTGCGTGTAGACTGTTGGTTCCTTGCCTCAGGCAGATGCGCTGGAATTGTGAACAAAACACCAATCATATCTATGTTGGCCATACTCCTGGTTAGGAACCTATTTCTTAGACCCCAACCTAGTCCTGTTTCACCGCCTGTAATTCAGCACTTTTGCATCTCGATGTCACCGCTATAGAGTGTAAATGGCAGTATCGTAATCATCATCTTCAAGATCTAATTTTGTATCACTGCATCCCGGTGTCACCAGTATTTAGAGTGTAAATGACAGGATCGCGATCATCATCTTCAAGATCTAGTTTTGTATCACCGCATGTAATTCAGCACTTTTGCATCCCGATGTCACTAGTGTTTAGTGTAAATGGCAGTATCGCGATCAACATCTTCATGTCGCTAAACACAGAGGTCATGGTTGATGATCTCATATGATATCCAGTCTTGGCTTACATGCGTATTTTCATCTCATTTTTACCATGTGTTCAGGCCATCTGGATATCTGATTGTCATCCTCTGGCTCTTTTGCCATCACATTTGCTAATTTTCTGTTAGTGTTAATTTGTTTTTGAAAGTCGGGTTAGCAGACCAACAGCACAATGCAAGATACCCTGTTCAGCCTCCAAATAAATTATAATTATGGCACCTGTAATGACTGAGGTGCGGCTGGTAGAATGGTTAGCCCTGGGCTCTCATGCAGGTGACCCATGTTTGAATCCTCGGTAAGATCCATTGATTATTTTTTCCTGTATGGGGGCAACAATTAGACCCCAGCCTGCAGAGTCTGTGGCGACGGCTCTAACGATGCAACTTTAGACTCAAGACCCTCTCCCAGTCTACACTGAAGTAGTAAATTCTGGCAGTTTTGACCTATAATATTACACCAGGCTGGTGTTGTCTGCACTCCTGGGCTGGTCATGATGTAGCATAAGAGAAAAAAATGTTATCGATGACTAGCATCTTTCATATTGACTTTCCCTATTTCAGGTCTCCTGGTTTCGGTGTCACTCTTGTTGCTGAGACAACAGAGGGAGCATTTCTAGCTGCAGAGGAAGTGTCTAATGCTAAAGGTTCTGGAGAGTCCCCAACAGTTCCTGAAGATCTGGGCAAGAAGGCAGCACTGGCTCTGATCCAAGAAATCTACAGGGTAGGTACAGAAAGCAGAGGGACAGTGTGTGTGTTCCGGGCCCTACTATGGGAAAAACAAGAATAGACCCACTGCCTACCCAAAAGCATGTCGTAAGAGTAGACTAATTGGGAGCTTCCTTCGAAGTCGGAGTGCATCTGCCTGAGAGGCAAGGAACCAACAGTCTGCATACAGATCTGTCAAATGGATGCACACGCAACACTCAGGTTCTGGAACAGGACTGCAGTCCAGAAGTGGACAAACAACCAGAACTTTCCGCCGGAGTTCACAGCCGGTGAACGCGAAGAAGAAGAAAAGAAAATCTTCAAGCATCATATAGGCGCCTCTTTTCAATAGCTGGTGCCTCTGGCATATAGTAACAGTAAATAAAGTAGATGACCACCTTCCATGCCTTGAGGAAGATTGGGTATGTAGGGCTAGACCTATATTTTATGGACCAATTGATGGGTGATGTGGTCAACATGGTATTGGCCGCATTTACTTTCTTGGGCATTTCCTTAGTGCAGAGTTTAGGCTTAGTCAGCCTGTCAGAAGTGAAGGGTGATTTTGATGAAACAGACCTGCCTTGAAGTGAATGTGAACTCCATGACCTTCAGGCTGGCAAGTGAGCATCTAACTGCTACCCTATAGTGGCTCCAAAAGAAGTTAAGAGATTTTTAAAAAATACACAGGGGGTGGTAATTAGAGACGTGGGAAAGATAAGGTAAAAGTGAAGTTGGAGTGATCATCATCAACATTATGAAACAGTTACATTGCACTGTTTCATCAAGCGGGTGGCTCAATATATCCTTCTCCTTCGTGTTCCTTGGCTGTAAACTCTGACACAAAGTTCTTGTTGTTTGTCCACTTCTGGATTTTGATTTTGTTTCAGAACTTTCAGAGTTTTGCTAGCACATCTGTTTTACAGATCTGACTTACTTGTACGCAGATATTTTGTTCTCATCTTTTAGGTAGATGCAGTCCAGCTTAGCAGGAAAGCCACCTAATTAGTCACCTTTTATGGCATGCTTGTTAGGGAAGCAGTCTATCCTCCCACAAAAGTTCCACAAGCATAAAATGACTGATGAAGCCTGTTCTTTGTTGGTTAATGAAACATCTTGTCCCCTTAGTGAAATGTTCATTTCTTGCAGTTCAAGGCTGCATCCCCATGTCCATCAGTCTAGACAGGGTTTCGGAGTCATGTCCTTTGTCGTGCTACTCTGTACGGTAAGTGCAGCGCATGGCATTGATAATAGGGCTGTACCGAATAGCGATTTTCACTATTCGGCCGAATACGAATAGCGGGACCAACTGTTCTACCGAATAAGAATACGAATAGTGAATAGTGTATAAAATATCTTTTAAAAAAAAACACACATTCATAATGTCAAATGTACGCTAAACTTTTACTTCATATAAAGTAGCACAGAATAGTCATCTTCTTCTTTAGCATTCTGAGCCCTTGGGGATTACTGTTGCAGATATCACCTGTCTCCATTCATCTCTCCGGCTGGCCTTATCTTCACAATTTGTGACACCAGCTGTTTGCAGGTCTGGCTGGACATTATCTCTCGAACTTCTTTCTTGTCTGCCTTATATATTTTGATATTGGTGCTGCGAGACAGACACTTTGATTTTAGATATTGAGGGCATAGTATACTTTATTTCTAGATTGTATTTCTTCTCTCAGCATGTTGGAGCAGTTGAAGTTTGCACCCAAGTACTTATATGTTTCCACTCGTTTGATTTTCATATTATTGACTTGGATGTGGCCGGAGTTTAAATTCTTTCCATGTCTAGTTAGTATTCGTGCAGAATAGTAAACATTTTAAAACATTTTATTTTTTGCATCCTTCAGTCAGTCTGTGGTAACTAATAACTAGGAATGAAAGAATCCTAAGTATTATAACAAGTAACTTAACTTGGAAATTGTCGCTGACAGCTTAGTTAAGGCAGGAAAGCAGCATTAACTTTCAACAAAACCAATCATTCCATGTTGTCAGCATTAAGGCCGTGTCTGCAGAGCGGGTGTAAGGTAAGTACTATTCGTATTCGGCCCGACTGCAACTATTCGGCCGAATAGTCAATAGGTCCACTATTTGGCCCCGAAGCGAATATTCGGTACAGTCCTAATTGATAACATCATTTCTGTCCAGTACTGGATCAGCCATAGCAACCGCGTGTCAGCAAGATACTCTGTGTGCTCGTTCCCTTGAAAACTGGCATGACGTGGCACAAAGATGAAGGTTATGTCAGCTATTCGTGAAGTGCTTAGTGTTGCAATACATTCTTGCCAGATATGTGTGTGTCATTTTAGGGTGTCTTGTATGGTATGGCGTCAGAAATGTTGGACTGTCCTGTGATGTCATGGGGGAGGGGGGTGGTAGGGGTAGGATAATAATAAAGCACTTTTTCTTTCACTGGTCTGGCACTTGTAGCATAGGATGGGAGTGAATGTGTTTTGTACGAGATGTTTCTGGTACCCACGCAGGGAAAATAGGATTGGAAGTTTGGACGGCTTGACTTCCGTCGGTTGAAGACCTGTGCTGTATCTGTTTTTAAAACGGCGACTAGCAGCTGTGTTATTTTTTTTTTGGCTGTGATTTCTCTTGAATTGTTCTGTTCCCTCATCATGGACTGCATTTTTATGTGCATTTCCAGTGCATGATATATGTGTTTTTCATGTTGTAGTGCTATGTCGTTGCGGGATAATGACCAATAGATTTAGCAGCCTCAGTCACACTGCCTTCGCAATATTTTGGGTACTATGTTATTAGCCACCACAAACAGGAAAATCCACAGGTCATGGGACAGTAAAATATTTCAGGGGGTGGTAGATTAAGTGTACAGTTTTGCTAAGGTTTGGCTTAGGTTAATGTGCGAAAACCTTGGCCGTGGAAGAAATGTGCTAAAGCACAGAAACACAGAAAACCTGCTCTTACACCCTATTAAATATTGCGCTGTCATTTGTGGTTGGCTAAAAAGAAAGCGCTATATTGTGATAGTTGCGGTCTATCCAGGAAGGCAGAATCTCGTCAGCAGGGGGACGGCAACTGCCTAGAGAGCAATTTCGATAAAAGCTGTCCCCGGGGACAGGGAGGAATTGACGCATACTGTTAACTCAGTGGTTATGGCCGTAAGGGTCATGTGATGCTATTGACTATTGAAATCATTGTCTGTCTGTCACCAGGGAGGCTGTGTGGATTCCACGAGCCAGAGCCTTGCAGCACTTATGATGGTCCTGGGCCAGCAGGATGTGTCCAAAATACAGACTGGAGAACTGACACCATACACGTAAGTTCTCTAAAGAGATAGAAATCTGCTGATTAACTTTTAGACCCGGAAAAAAAAGTAAAGGTCAGATTAGACAACAGTGGCCTGTCAGGCATATGAGGTTACACACATATGTTTATAGACCAGTCGCCCCTCGGTGGGTGATGTGATCTGCAGACGAGCATCTGGCCGCTGCACCACAACGTCTCCGTCTGCTGATTTATGAATGGTATAGGTTCATGTGGGAATTTATTCTACACTGATCCAGGGCACCAGGGTTTGTAATCAGTAACCAGTGGCAAGGAGAACAGAAAAAAGGATGAACTGCAGGAAAGCTGTAAAAACTCATGTCTTGTTCTTTATATTCTTTCTCTCAAAATATAATGTTAGCCCACTGACCGCTCTTCTATTTGTTTTCTTGCCGCAGGCCATGTGGCCTCACTTTTATTTTCAGGTTAGGTTGACGGGGGGCCGAGGTCAGTATGGAAGATCAAATCTGCCATGATGCATATTTGAACTCATAAACGTTTCGGTCGGCATCTAACCATAGCGGTATGATGGCTCACTGAAACTTGCTCTATGAAATTTTTATTTATCATTTCAACACATTAGGAATTCTGCTCTAGTCCTGTTCTGCTTTTCTTTGTCTGGTTTTGAAGAGGCATCCTGTGCAAGCCTTGGTATCTGCTGCATATATGTTGGTGTTTATGGCTGTGAATATTCCATCTATCCATCGCTTGCATGGTCAACCTCTAGTTCTGCCTTCATTATAAATAATTGGCTAACTGAACTATTGTGGTGTGTGAAGTGTTTTTTGTTTTTGTTTTAGGATACATTTTCTTCGACACATTCGGGATTTCTTCAAAGTGGTGTTCAACATAAAAGTGGACAAGAAGCCCAAAGCTGCAAGTTCAGATGATGCAGACGAAGAAGGGGAGGAGCTGCGGGTAGGAGGAGACAAGCTGATTCTGACCTGTGTGGGCGTGGGATATAGTAATGTCAGCAAGGCTGTTAGATAATTATATTAATTGTTCCAATCTGGTTGCCTCAATGTGCGTTTTGTTATGTGAGCGAGATGGGAAAAGTATCTATCGTTCTGTCTGTCACTTTTCTGTCTCATTTGCCTTGTCTGTCTGTCACTTTTCTGTCTCATTTGCCTACTCTGCAAGCATCACTTCAAAGGTCCCGGGTAGTTAGCGACCTTTGGATATTTTCTCCGGGTCATGCAGGTGTGTTGGGAAATGAGCAGGCAGATAGACTGGCCAGTTTTGCACCACTTGGTCCAGAGGAACAGATAGGTCATTACGGTCTGAGGAGAATGGCACTGCAAAGAGTTACAAGGGAATCTGGCAGACGCTCTACACTTACGGGAAAGGTGAGACAGATATACAATCAGACAGTTACTGGTAGCATTGGATTGGAACTCTTCGCTTGCTGTTGAAGATGGGGAAGGAGCGCTTATGGTGGTGTCCCAAGTGCTTTGAAGTCGATTCTTAATTCAACATTCATTCACATTCTTCTTCTTCAGCGATCTCTGGTCATGCGCATAATCCACTGTGGGTCATAAACTGGGATGTCTTTTCAAGGTCTCTTAGGTTTCCCCAAAGCTTAGTTGTCAGTTCTACTGGGTGTTGCCATATGTCGCTCCGCAGCTCCGCCAGGAGAGGACAGTCTTGCAGGACATGTTCTGGAGTCTGTTCAGCACGAAGGCACTGGCAGAGAGCTGTTTGGCTCATACCTAATTTATATGAGTGTTTATTGAGTCTGCAGTGTCCAGTGCGTAAGCGAAAAACTGTGACTTGGTCTGTTCTGTTCAAGTGTTTCAGAAAATCTTTTCCATAGTTAAAACCAGTGTTGGTTTTCCAATCTGTTTCTGATTTTCTCTTAATGAGAGTTTTGACTTCTAGAAAAGATAGTGGCTGGTAGGTCTGTGGTTTGTTACTGCCTTCCTTGGCTAAAGCATCTGCGCTTTCATTGCCTTTGATACCACAGTGAGACGGAATCCACTGCAAGTGAATTTCTGCCTTATTTGACAACATAGCAAGTTCCTGTGTTAGACCTTGTATTGTGCTGTCGGTAGGTTTGGACTCCAGGGCCTGTATAGCTGACAGTGAGTCAGTCAGAAAAACTATCCTGCCTGCGGTGATTTGCAGATTGTTCATGTACTGCGCTGCCATCAAAAGGGCTGAGAGCTCTGCCTTGTAGTTAGAGCAAGTTCGTCCGGTGGGGGCTGCTAGGGACACAGTAGTGGCATCTGGGTGTTTTATGTAAACACCTGCCCCACCATTCGTAGTTGCCTCTTTTGCTGATCCATCCGTGTAGATTCTCGTCCAGCTGTCCTGTGGGAACATGTTGTTGAGGTGTTCCATTGTGAGTGCTTTCTTCACTAAAGCGGGCTCAGCATCTTTGTTTCCCACTTTCGGGATGGATCAACATTCATTCAACATTTGCCTACTCTCTGCTTCTTCTTTCTCCCAGACCTCCTACTTTGTGCACACCTTCTATCAATCAGGTACTGTTCCCACAATGATGGCTGCCTGCAGTGAATCCCTGACATGCTGAGAATAAATTGGAAATAGTCATTTGCATTGGATGGACCCTCACTCATGCTGCTTTTTGCCCAACTCTTGATGTTATTATTCTCCCACCTGTATCACATGCTGCTTTTTTGCCCACTAGCCTTAAATGTTTCTTTCAGGAATTATATATCATCAGTTCTCGTTATGTCAAGTGGCACATGAGGCTTCAGAGAGGACTTTCCATGCTTATCTGTCCTGTGCAATCTTCAGTGCAGTTTTCCATGTCAAAGATGCCGCACTCAGGTCACTTTCCATCGTTTGTCTCCATGTTGTTTTTGGGCGCCCCTGTTTTCTCTTTCCCTCTGGTGTCCATGTGAGAGCTGTATTGGCAGGTATATCAGAAGTAATTCTCATAACGTGGCCAAGCCATTTCCATCTTCTATTGGTAATCATACTGTCTAAAGTTTCTTGGTTTGTGGCTTGAAGTAGTTTAGTGTTTGAGATTGTATCTGGCCAGAAAATTTTGATAATTCTAAGTAGACATGTGTGGTGGAAGGTGGACAGCTTGTGAATTATATATATTATTATATACTTATATAAGTTGAATAGGATAGTATCCTTTACAAGATGTTGCAGAACCAACCCCAGCATTTTTTGCTGTTGTGGCTTTTCTAGGCAAACTTACGCCTAGTAGTTTGCCATTGCTTTCTGGGCGGTCAGTTTCTGGATACTACTGTGGAAACCAACACAAGTCGCAAGACCCGCAGCTGGGGTCGAACCCAGTATTACGAAGCATGTTTGCAATGCCTAAGCCACAGATGCCGACGAATAAGCTAGGCTAGCATGTATTATTTTCTCAGCGAATGGAGGAGACAAAGGGAGGTTATGTGAGGGTCTGTTTGTGTCAGACAGCGAATGAAACTATTATCTGTAACTGAGGTGGTCAGCTGAGAGAGGCCTGGGATTCACTAAGGATTTCATATACAAAATTTAGAGAATGTCACTGGGTAGATAAGAGGAAGGAATCAAACTCCAGGTCATGTGTGACATAAACGGCACCTATTTGACATATAAATTGAGTGCCTGACCTGGCCGGGAGCAATCGTGAGTCTGTTACAGAAGTCACACCATTATGAAACTTTCTACTCCACTCACACTATATTTTTTAATAATAAAATATAGGTCTAGCCCTATATGCCTAAAGGCGTGGAAAAGAGTCCTTTACTTACTCCACTCACACACTTGGTGGACTGACAGGTATCCTTTACCATACATATTCATTCGCCCATGAATTACAAAAGGTTTGACCCCTTCACTGATAAAAAACGGTTTACAGAACTTTGCTCTTTTTTGGTGCATGTCAAAAGTGGGGTGGCCATATTTAAACTGTCATTATGACATCACCGTATTCATCTGCAACATGATTTCACCCGCTTCACACTATTGAGGTCCTTAGCAACAGAATTGATAGGTTACAAAAGACAGTGACATGGTTATAGTAATTTCTGTTAAAGTTTTCATTTGATACCCTTTGTATAATCCTAGCACTATAAACTTGATGTACCAGGGACACAAGAAGGTTACTTTTCTGTCTTATATGTCTGTCTTGCCTTCTCTGTATATATTGTTATATCTTGCCTTCTCTCTAAATATTGTTATATCTTGCCTTCTCTCTAAATATTGTTTTATCTTGCCGTCTCTCTGAATATTGTTTTATCTTGCCTTCTCTGTATATACTGTTTTATCTTGCCTTCTCTCTTAATACTGTTTTATCTTGCCTTCTCTCTTAATATTGTTATATCTTGCTTTTTCTCTAAATATTGTTATATCTTGCCTTTTCTCTAAATATTGTTTTATCTTGCCTTTTCTCTAAATATTGTTTTATCTTGCCTTTTCTCTAAATATTGTTTTATCTTGCCTTTTCTCTAAATATTGTTTTATCTTGCCTTCTCTCTAAATATTTTTGTATCTTTGCCTTTTCTCTAAATATTTTTTTTGTGTGTGCCTTTTCTCTAAATATTGTTATATCTTGCCTTTTCTCTAAATATTGTTTTATCCTGAGAAAAACTTGATAATAATATTTTTATCCAACTCCCAAAGGAGTTGAACTCCCAAAGAGATTAAAAATGTAAATTCAAAAGAGAATTTGAAATAGTGAAAAGGTTTATCATGAATTCATCAAGCCAACAAAGTCACTATCAACTTTTGTTTGTTGCGTACTTTAGAGGACTTTTACGGAATCCCCCAAAACGTTTTGTAGGCTGTTTATGATTTAACGAGGCAATGTTACATTTAGTAGTTTGACATTTATCTAAACTGTCAGCTTTTGAAATTACTATTGAAACTAAAGCACAGTGATCTGATTCCCAGCCACCCACAGTTGGAATCAAACACAGCACCTCAGAATTATATGAATCAGTAGTAAAACAGCAAAATATATAATCAAAATCATTACTCAAAATATATAAAACGTTGATAGGATCGTTCGTATATGGCTCTGAAACTTGAAGCACAGCTAAAAGAGATGAAGCCTTGTTACAGGTTTTCAAAAACAGAGTCTTACGACACATCTTTGGACCCATCAAAGATGCAAACAGCGGGGAATGGAGAGAGAAAAGCAATAACGAAATTCATAATCTGTTTTAATCACCACTGTCATCATGAGAGCAAATAGACTGAAATGGTTGGGGCATATTGAAAGAATGTCAGATGACAGAGAAGTAAAAACTGTATACACAAGAGAGATGAATGGTCATAGACCACAGGACAGACCAAGAAGAATATGGAGAGATAATGTCCAGACAGACCTACAAACACTTAGTCTCACCAACTGGAAAGAGAAGGCCAACCAGAGAGATGAATGGAGGCGGGTGATATCTGCAGCATTGAACCTCAAGGGTTTTGAATGCTGAAGAAGGACAACCAGAGAGATGAATGGAGGCTGGTGATATCTGCAGCATTGAACCTCAAGAGTTTGGAATGCTGAAGAAGGCCAACCAGAGAGAAGAATGGAGGCGGGTGATATCTGCAGCAATGAACCTAAAGGGCTCGGAATTCTGAAGTAGTAGTAGTAGTAAAACTTTCCTCTATCCTAACAGAGATTAAAAGGCGAAGAATAAATTCACTCTTTTTACCAACTTCAAGTTACCAGTATCTGACTTGAATGTAGACTAAACAATACCAAAGAAACCTAACCATCTTTAAAATTAGATATTTGAAGAAGGTGGTGAACAAAACCAGATGATTTCACGGGGATAGATAGAGATAAGAAATTATCATAATGTAGCAGGTCCTTTGCAGAACGTCGCTCTCATCACAGTCTGCCTGAAAGAAACTTGGTCTCTAGCCAGATCTCCCGCATCCTGCACTTTCACACTCAAGGAGTCACTTATATCCTGTGCCCATCTTCGTGTCGGTCGGCCTCTGCCCCTCCTTTCTGGTACCATGCCTTCTGCTATAATTGTGTCCAATCCTTCGTGGCGCTTGATATGACCAATGAT